CACACACACACACACACACACACTCACACACACATACACACACACGCGCGCGCACACACACACACACACACACACACATACACACACACATCTACTTGCTTACCACACGCACACGCTTACACATCATTTGTGGGGCATCGTGGTGAAATCAGTCGCTTGTCAAAACAAAAGAAAATAATAAAGTGTAACTTTTACATAAAAAAATGAATTCTATCTCTCATAAAAAGCTAATTGTAACGTAATCAGAAAAAAGTTCAGAGTAACTTCACTATTAAAAAACAAACAACCTCTAACTTTATTATGAAAAGCAAAGTGTAACTTTGTCATTTTAAAAAAACCTTAAACACTGACCCAGTAACTGTCATATTATTATATAAAATATTGCTAGAGTCTTCTTCTAAACTCTCATTATGTAGGCTTGGATTAACACGTTAGAAAATTATAGTACCGACGAGACATCTAACATTTCAGAAGCTTTACACTCCCCCCCCCCCACTCCCACTCCAACTCCCCGCAGTATTAATATGGCGGCATCGCAATAGCTCCTCCGAGGCGCTCCATGACCACTAGCTTTTTAAGACTGTACTCTTCTATTCTCTCTCTATTCACTGAGTTAAGACTGTACTCAATCTTCTATTCTCTCTCTTTATTCACTGAGTTAAGACTGTACTCAATCTTCTCTCTCTTCACTGGGTTAAAACTGTGCGCAATCTTCTATTCTTATTCTCTCTCTCTCTCTCTCTCTCTCTCTCTCTCTCTCTCTCTCTCTCTCTCTCTCTCTTCACTGAGTTAAGACTGTACTCAATCTTCTATTCTCTCCCTTCACTGAGTTAAGACTGTACGCAATCTTCTATTCTCTCTCTTCACTGAGTTAAGACTGTACTCAATCTTCTATTCTCTCTCTTCACTGAGTTAAAAGACAGTACTGAATTTTCTATTCGCCCCCACCAGGGCAGTGCTACAGACTAAACTTGTGTTTATGGACATGTTCTTAGTTCTTATGCACAGTAGATTAGTAAATGGGCGGATTTATCAATGTTATGCTCGTACTGAGCCGGAACAACATTGGGGGAACTGCTGCTTTTTCTTTCCTCATCATTACTGTCGTCATTTAATCTCTACTTTTTTGCATGTTTGTCACTCTCTTGTGACCCGCTATTTCCGGGGTGCCTTGATAGTTGAAGCAGACTTTGTGCAGTTGAGGCTAGAGAGATGAGCAGACTAAGCCTGATTCCCCGTTTGGACTTCTCTGTTGACATCCACCCCTTGCCGCTCATAATTTGACCGTGTGCAGTTGCGAGCTCCGTAAAACCTTTACTAAAACCACAACAAGATTCGTCTACTCTCTCTCCCCTACACTGTATTAAGACCACACAGTCTTCTACTCTCTCTCTCTCTCTCTCTCTCTCTCTCTCTCTCTCTCTCTTTTTTTTTTTTT